CTTAAGTTGTACGATGTCAACGTTATGTCAACGTTATGCCAACGTTATGCATATAATGACAGCGATCACGGTAAGCGTTTAGCTTTCGCTGTCCGCCATTTTTAACGTGGCAAAGAACCTTTACGAGTAAATTACACCAAGTACTTCATATATTTTTTGTGGATTTGCGGATTTTTTAAGGATTTTGAAGGATTTCTGTGGATTTTTGAAGGATTTCTGTGGTTTTTAAAGTTTTTTTTGGATTTTGATGGATTCAACGGATTTTGAGGATTTCATGGATTTTTTCTGGATTTTTTCCGGATTTTTTGACGAAGTGTACGGGATTTTTGGAGTGAATTGCCCCTCGTGTTTATATGTAAATATTATGTTTTTTCACAGTTTCTCACAGGCACAGTCATCACTTTGACTTTGTTGGCGTTTTTTTTTAATGTAATAAAATAATTATTGGTTTCGGCTTAAGCACGATAGGCATTTATAGCCATAGGCGAGAATAATTTAGACCTCGGTCAATGTTTCCACCCGCTCAGCTTCGCTTCGGCATTATTGATGTCATGTATAAGCCGACGCCAATATTAATTGTTTATTATGTAAATTGTTTATATAAGATGATTGCATATTACGAGGATTCTCGAAAAACAAATTGTGCGTGACTGTCAGACATCAGTTCTCATTAAAACAGTTTTTTCAATATTAATATAAAGAAACTAAAGTGTTTGGAGTATTCTGAGCGTTTCCTATTATGTTTTCACAATCACAATAAAGTCCATCAACATAATATTCGCTCACGCGTACAGACATTGTTAAACATAAATACATTTGTGTAAATTTACCATTTTCAAAGTTGAAACAGTGGGCTATGTTATGTAGGTATGTAAGATAATAGTGACTGGCTGTCATATCCATATTTTTAAATTTTATTCACTTATATAATTATATTTCTGCTTAATAAAATATTCTCTAACTCGGTAAGGCGTAAATATTTACGTTATCAAGTGACTTTTAAGTTTATGCTCGTGATCTATAGGCTATAGCAATACAAACGAATAATAAAGACTCATTTTCTCTTAAACGTCGTAATTAATTAAATATAGTATTGCTATAATACTATTCCACAATAAGCTGTCGTGGTTTGTGTCTGAACTATACCTGAAAAAGATATCTCAAACGTAGTGGTCCAGTGTAGGTAGTATTCTTCAATAAGCTGACGTGGTTTGTGTCTGAACTACCTGAAAAAGATATCGCAAACGTGGAGCTACGCGGATCGGTAAGCTGTATTTTTCATTAAGCTGTCGTAGTTTGTGACCGGCTACCTGGAAAGTTTGAAGACATCTGTTTGGAAAGTTTGAAGATCTTCATGAACAATTTGAGCAATTTTAATCTGTGAGAAAACACTCGGCCCACAGCCTCGTTCCATGCACACATAATTCTTCTTTCCCTCATCAGGTTCATGAAAAATGCTGCTTTCATTTCCCGTGTTTAGTTACGTCGTTATGAAAAGCTTGACCCCTGTTGTCACACACAATATTTTACGTCTCTGAGCTTCCGCTGCGAGCGTAACGCCGGCTATTATGACTATATTGTTATATTAAATTTTTAATTCCTGTTTGTTTAGAGGACTGGAGAATACCAATTACATCGTGTAAAAGGTACAGTGAAATATGTAGCCTTGCATGTGGTTTAGATTTGCTGTGGGTTTGGGGGCTACTACAGAATCTGTTTTTAATACAAATTATCTAGTGACACATCTCTTAAATATTGAATCATCACGGTTAGTGATTAATTATGTAGTTGTCTTGTTTGTCTGCTATATATAATATTGCCTATTCGTCTGTTTATTTGATTGTCTATTTGACAAGTAGAATTGCACTATAATCTATATGAAGTTATGAACTATATCGGGTAAACGCAGGAATGGAAGTCAATCTAAACATGTATAGTTTTAAAATAATA